CCCACGGACGGGAGCATCCCACGGACGGGAGCATCCCACGGATGGGGCCCCCCACGGACGGGGCAGTTCACGGACGGGGCAGCCCGGCCGTACGGTCCCCGTAGACAGCGTCAGTGGGTGGCACAGGGGCAATGGCAGTATGACACAGGGCTGCTGTCACCTCCACCAGTGTCGCCCCGCTGTGTCACCCCCCGGCTCTCATTTTGGGGTGTCCCTGCCCTCTGAAGCCCCCTGTGGCACCCTGTCATGTCACCCACCCAAGTCATGTCCTGGGGACACCCCGCCAGTCCCCACCCTGGGGGGGACAATAAATGGACCTACCTTAGAGGTGGGGGGAGCTCGGGGAGAGGTGCCAGGTGAGGGGACACAGCGGTGGCCTTGCGGTGTCACCACTGGGGACCTGGGTTGTTCTGGGGACACAGTGGTGGCTCTCGGGTGTCACCGCTAGGAGCATTGGGCAGTGCTGGGGACAGTGGTGGCTCTGGGTGTCACCTCTGGATTCAGGGTCTCGGTGGTGACCCCGGGGTGCTGGTGGGGACCTGTCCGGTGGCCGTGCCCGGGGGCCGGTGGCCGTGGCTGTTTCCTGCCATTAATCACCGCTAATTGGCTTTGCCCTGGCGGGCCCGCGGCGGGGGGAGTTTGGGGGGGTCACGGGGGGTGTAAGAGGATTTCCCTGCGCCTTCCTCCGGCTCGGCCGTCCCGGGGTCCTGCTCCCTGCCCACCCGCTGCCCACCCGGCCCCGGCCCCATGCCACGCTCCCGCGGGGACAAAGGGACCCCCAAGGACACGGAGCCCCCGCAGAGGGGGAAAGGGGGGCACGAGGAGGGGGAGAAACCCCCCAAAGCCCCCGAGGACGTCGGTGCCCCGGCCCCCAAGAATTCCGGCTCCGAGCACCGGCACGGTGGGCACGGGCAGAAGAGTGGGAAGAAGGGTCCCACCGACCCCCACGCTGCTGCCACCAAGACCTACTCCCCCTTCCTCAACACCGTCTTTGGCAAGGTGGGGACACCAGAGGGGGCGTGGGCATGAGGGTGGCAATGGAGGGACCCTGGAAATTGAGGGGATGTGGGGACAGGGGAGAGGGGGACAGGGATAGTCCAAGATCCTGTGGATGGAAGGGGGACAGCTTTGGGGACATGGTCAGGGACACTCTGGGATCCTGGGGATGGAGAGGATATGGGGACATGGGGACAGTGAGGGTGGGGACAGGAATAGTCCAGGACACTGCAGATGGAGGGGATGTGATATGGAGACAGTGGAGCTGATCCAGGGCCCTGGCTATGGAAGGAACATGGGGAAATTGGGAATGGGGACAGGGACAGTCCAGGACCCTGTAGATGAAGAGGGCATTGAGGCAGTCAGGATGGGCTTGGGGGCGGTGGGATGGGGATGTTCCACAACCCTGGGGACAGAGGGGACATGGGGCCAGTGAAGATGGTGTTGGGACACTCCAGGACCCTGGGGATGAAGGGAATGTTGGGCACTGGGGACATTGTTGGGTCCCCAGTCTGGGTCCTTGGGGATTAAAACGACATGGGGACAGTGGGGACACAGTTGGGGACACTCTGGGACCCTAGGAATGAGGACATGGGGACAGTGGGAATGGGCTCAGGGACCTGCTGGAAAGCCTGGAATTGTGGGGATAGATGGGACATGCGTGCTGGGAATGGTGCTGGGAACAGAGGGGACATCCTGAAGGGACAGCCAAGCTCTGTGGGAGTAAAAATGCTGCTCCTCCACCTCTGGAGCACAACCCCTCTTGGCAGCATCCATGGCCACCTGGCACATCCCATCCAGAGCCTGGGGGTCCCGGAGTGGGACACCCCTGGGGTGGGTGACAGGAGTGGGAACACGGGGACCGGGGCAGGGCAGGTGGGAGGTGCAGGCACAGGACAGGGCGGAGCTTTGCCTCCAATCCCACTAATCCTCCGCTGGAGTTAATTTTGGCCTGCGCTTAACAAAGGTGACACCGAGGTTTGAGGGGGTGAGGAGGGGGGATGGACACAGAGCTGGGTCTCATTCTGCTGTCACCCCTTCTGTGTGCCCCACGCAGGAGCGGGAGCTGTCACCGGAGGAGCTGGATGGTGAGCAGGGGGCACAGGATGGGGACATGGGCCTAGGGGAGTGGGGCGGGCACATCCTCATGGAGGGATCTGCTGTGGGGACGTGGCCATGGAGGGGTCACCCACACCCAAGAAGGGACTTGCCCTGGGGTGACACGGTGCCCATGTGACCCTCCATGCCTGATGATGTCCCTGTCCCCACCCATGGCCATGCCCAGAGCTGCTGGACGCCTTCAAGGAGTTTGACACGGACCAGGATGGCTACATCAGCTACAAGGACCTGGGCGCCTGCATGCGCACGCTGGGGTACATGCCCACCGAGATGGAGCTCATCGAGATCTCCCAGCACATCAAGATGAGGAGTGAGTGGGGCCGGGGGCCCAGGGAAGGGACCTGGGGTCGCTGGGGTGCTGAGGGTGTCCCCTTCCCACCGCAGTGGGCGGCCGCGTGGACTTCGAGGACTTTGTGCAGATGATGGGCCCGAAACTGCGGGAGGAGACGGCACACATGGTGGGCGTGAGGGAGCTCAAGATCGCCTTCCGCGAGGTACGGCCACCGCCACGGGGACAGTGGGTGTGATGTCCCCTCCTTAGGGCCACCACAGCCATGAGGGGACCACAGGCATGGTAGAGACAGTGACCCTGGAGAGACCCTGGTGGGGACAGTAATGATGGGGACATGGAGGGGATGGTGATCATGGGAAGACCACGGTGAGATGGTGACCATAGAGGGGACCATGGGGTGACCACAGACATGGAGGGGACTCTGACCATGAGAAGACCATAGCGGTGACCACAGGCAGGAGAAGACAATGACCATGGGGAAACCATGACCATGGGGTGACCACAGGCACGGAGAGAACACTGACTGGGGTGAATGATGACCATGGGGGTGACCACGAGGAGCTGGGGGTGCCGGTGGCCATGGTGGGAGGGTGACCCCCAGCCCGCGGGTGCCGCAGTTCGACATGAACGGGGACGGGGAGATCAGCACGGCCGAGATGCGCGAGGCCATCGCGGCGCTGCTCGGGGAGCAGCTGAAGGCGCAGGAGGTGGACGAGATCCTGCAGGACGTGGATCTCAACGGGGACGGTCACGTGGACTTCGACGGTGAGGGCACCCCCTTCCCCAGGGGGCCGTGGCAGGGGCTGAGCCCCGGGTCCCCTGACGTCCCCTCCTCGCCCCGCAGAGTTCGTGATGATGCTGTCATCCCGGTAACGGAGACACCGGGCAGGAGGGGACCCCCGGCTGACCCCCCCAGCCCCTCCTTGGCCCCTCCGTGTCTGGCCAATGGACCCGAGAGCTCTGCCAACATCGGGGTTCAGAGGGAACAGCTGGAGCGGAGAATCTGGGAACGGGGCAGACGCGACACCCCCGACCCCAAAAGCCACCGGCTGTGGTGGCAGAGCCAGCGGAGGCCAGGGGCCCAATAAACCCCTTTGAGCAGAGCTGGATGGAGGTGTCTGCTGGTTGTGGGGAGGGACGTGGGGTCAGCATCCTCCCCTGGCCACTCGAGCCACCCAGGGGTGGAGACAGCGGGGGCACGTGCCATGAGGAAGGGCAGGGCATGGGGGCACCTATGTCACTTGCAGGGAGTCCCCACAATCCCTTGGGATATCCCTCCCTGCCCATGGAAGTGTCCCCAGGGGGTCCCAGGGCCACTCGGGACCTCCCCTCTCTGGATGACACCCCCCATATCAGGTGATCAAAATGGGTTCCCGGGAAGAGTCAAGGGTCCCCCTGAAGTCACCCGGGGTGTCCCCAGCACTCCAAACCCAGTGGGGAACACAGGGGGACACAGGAGACACCCCTCAATCCCCCACCTGCCATGAGACAGCAGAACCTGAGGAGTGGACAAGGTGGCTCCTGGAGAATCCCATGAATGGGGCTCAAGTCCCTGTTTGGGTGCTGTCACTCAAATCCTGACAGGAGTAGGGGGTACCCCCCCAAATCAGTCGCAGGGAGAGGCTGGACCCTCCCCCTACCCCACAGAGCAGGCGCAGGGCTGGGGCATTCACAGATTTTAATTTAGTTCTTTTTCTGGAGACAAAAAAAAAGAAAAAAACAACCCAAAAAAAGAAAAAAATAAAATAAAAAGGCATCAAATGCCCCCAATTTCAGATTCAGGGGTGCAGACTCCCCCCACGGTGTATCTCCCCACCCCTGTAGTGTCTGGGGGTGCAGGGGTCCCACTGCACCCTGGAGAGACGTCCCCCAAAACCCAGGCCCTCCCCCTGCCCTAAACCTACAGGGAAGGCACCTCAGGGGGGGTCCCCACGTGTGGGGGCCATCCCAGGGAGGGTGGGGACCCCCCAAACTGGGGGCTGTGGGCGAGATGGGGACCCCGATTGCTCTCTACATATATATAATATACACCTATAGAACAGGCTGGGGGGGAGTCTGGCCCCCCCGGACCCCAAAAGCACCCGAACTCCTGGGGGCGAAGGGGAACGGGACTAAAAGGGGAGGGGGGAGACCAAGGCCAGCCTCGGGCTCGCCCCGCTGCGCCTTCCCCGGGGCCCCCCACCCCGGGGGCAGCCGTGCCCCCCACCCCAGGGTGCCGAGGAGGTGGGTGGGACGAACGGAGCCCCTCTGCTCCAGCACGGCTTTTGGGGTGGCTGTGTTGGCTCCTGCTCCTCAAGGTCAGTTTGGGTGGGCTAAGGCAAAGCCCGGCCGGCGCTCACGGCGAGGCACGGGGACACACGGTTAAGACAGACGGATGGACAGGGGGAGTCCTGGCCTTCATCCCTCCCCCCCGCCGCTCCTCCTCCTCCTCTTCTCGCCGGGCTCAGAAAATATCCGGGCACAAGCTCCAGTCCTGCTTCTCCTTGCTCTCCCAGTAGCCCCCCTTGTAGACGTGCGCCAGCTCCTGCGTCACCGGGTCCTTCCTCCGCTCGAACCACAGCGGTTTGTAGGGATCGTAGGGTGTCCCTGGGGGGCACAGCGGGGTGAGGGCCTGGTGGGGACACCGAGGGGACACATCCCTGTCTGACAGCCGTGCCTTACCGTCCTCGGTGGCGCGGGCGGCCTCGGCCTCGCGGCGCTTGCGGGAGAGCCGCTGTTTCTCCTCCAGCCGCTGCTTCTCGGCGTTGGCCTCGTCCCACCTCCCGTTCTCCATGAGGCGCTGGTCCGGGCGCCGCCGGCTGTCCGTGGGGGCCGTCCCGTTCTCCGGCGCGTTCAGGGTCAACGCCAGCTCCGAGAAGTAGTACATGTTCTCTGCGTACTTCCTGCGGCATGGCAAGGAACGGGGCTCAGTGCTGGCTCTGCAGCCCGGCTCCTGGGCCTGCCTCATTCCCGTTTTTCCCACTCACGGGAGCGGGTTCCGCTTCCACAGCAGCACCCGGCTGTCCTCGGACTCGTGGGCTCGTGGCCGTGCCTCGGCTCCGTTGTCCCCTGTTCCCAGCTGGACCTTGTAGCAATCCATCTTCTCGTCCCACGTGCCCAGCAGGGCGAAATGCACCTTTCCTGAGGGGTCCATCACCTCCCCGGTGACCTGGCAGGAGAGAGGACAGCCTGGATCAGGACACACCGCAGTCATGAGCAGCCCAGTGTGTCCCATGGCTCTGTGTCCTTACCTTCCTCGCCACATCCCGGGAGAAGTAGCTGTAAGGGACAAACTTGAGGATGCATTTGTCCCCTGTCTTGTGGTTGACAATCTCAATTTCACCTGACTGTGGAGAGGTGAGTCAGACCCACCCATGCCACATTCCCCAGGGATCCACACTTCCATAGACCTCCCATCCACAACTTCCCACCTGGTCTATCCAGAGCTTCCCCACGATGATGTTGTGCACGGTGGTCGTCACCTTTTTCCACGTGTAGTGGTTGCCGGAGGAGTGGAAGACGCAGTGGATGGTACCTGAGGGAGGGAGATTGTACTGGGAACCACACCTGGAACCTCGGGGGGTCCTGAAGATCCCACACACTCCTGGGGTGCTCACCCAGAGGCATGATGGAGAGGTATTTCCCTCGGAATTTGCTGGTGATTTTGATTTCCTGGCGCAGCGTCCAGCCGTTCTTGGAGTCAGCGTGGTGGGCGGCGGCCGGCGGGTGGTGGCTCACCTGGAAACGGGATTGGGGAGAGCTCAGTGCCAGCCATCCCAGCAGCCCAGGAAAGGCTGGGAGAGAGGGGCCGGCCGCACCTGCTCGCAGAGGGAGCGGTATCCGTTCTCCTCCAGGCGATCCAGCTCGAAGGTTTCCCCCAGGAGCGGGTTGAAGGGTTTGCTGGTGCGGAAGACGGTGGTGGAGTAGGAGGACACGGTGAAAGCAGCCACGTAGCACAGCTGCTCCAGGGAGCTCTCACACCGTGCTGCCCGATCCAGGAGCTCGTGGTATTCCAGGTCCTCCGTCAGCCGCTGCAGCATGGACAGTGGCTCATTGAAATTCACCTGGAAGACAGAACGGGTCAAAAAAAGGGGGTTCCGGGGTGCCCCACGCCCACCCACCAGTTGCATCTGTACTCACTGGCATGGGAATCTTGGACAGCTCCTTCCCGATGCAGTTCTTCATGATGCTCCAGAGGTTGAGGCTGTAGTTGGGTTTGTAGGGAATGCGGGTTCTCTTCTCCTTCTTAGTGTCCTCAACCTGGTGCTTGTACTAGAGGCAGGGGAGACAAAGGCTGTTATATCTCTGTGATCCCCAAAATACCTCCATGGGAATTTGGGCACCCCCAAACCATAAACCCCCATCCCACCTGCTCATCCAGGCTGATGTCACTGCTGGTGCCACTGATGTTGCTCCCAGTTCTCCTGGGAAGGGGGGAAAGGGGGTGAACATTCCCGAGCAGAGCCGAGCAGCCAAGGAGATTCCCCTCTCCCCCAAAACTCACTTGTGGCCCATGATGTCAGGCATGGGGATGATCTCCGGGGCATCAAAAAACTCGTTGTTGTCGTCATCCTCGTCACTCAGGTCGCCTTTGGCAGGGCAGCACAGATCTGGGAAAGGGGACAGGGCTGGTGAGGAAGGGACATCATTCCCAGTTTCCCTCTGAAGGCTCCCCTGTCACCATCAGAAAGGCGAGGGGGTCACACCCCACCCCAGCTCTGAGGGGTGTTAAATAAGGCTCAGAGGAGTCAGTTTGGACCCTGTTGTGGATGCCAGAATCACTTGATTACACAGATGAGATGGGACAGATGTTTGGGATCAGCAGAGTGAGAGAAGCTGAGCCTGGCTTGGAAAATCCCAAGAAGTATCTGGGAAACGCTTGGGCACAGCACTTGTCCCTCCCCACCTTTGCCAGAGCCTCCAGTGCCGGGCGTGCTGGCGGGGAGCACCGTGGCTCCCCGGAAAGCCCTTTCCAGGTGGTTGTGCTGCTTGGCCAGCTGCTCCAGCGTCTCCTCCAGCCGGATCCGCTGATCTCGCTCCTGCTGCAGCGACTTCTGCCACTTCTTCCCGTGCGTTTGTGCCAGGAGCATGAAATCCCGGCAGGCCTGCGGGGAAACAGTGCTCAGCATGGAAGTGAGGGCTTTTCCCACCATGGAATCCTTGGGACGGGGACTCACATTGATCATGGCGTTGGAGGTGATGCGGAAGAGCGTGGCCCGCTCGTTGACCTGCTTGATCTTGTCCGTGCTGTCTGGAGGGAGCCGCAGGGCCTCGAGCTCGCTGAGGGAGCGCTGCAGGGCCGTGCCGTGCTTGGCGATCAGGTCGTTGCAGGTGCTCAGGTCCTCCACTTTGCTGGATAAAATCCGCAGGGTGTTCTGCAGCTCCGTCTTGTCCGTCTGAGACACTGACTCGTCGCCAGAGTCGTCTGCGGGTGGGAAGGGATGGGAAGTGCAGGATTATCATGTCATGCCAGGAGCAGGTGGTGGGGCTGCCAGGAAGGGCACGAGGGGATCCCCAAATCCCTGAGGGCTCCCAAACACTCATGGTCCATCTCTGTGTGCATGCCAGGCTGTTTGGGTTACACATGCATGGACATGGCTATCCCCTTCCAAACCTTCTTGCTGGAGATGCTGGGATGCTGCCCAGGGCACTGGGATCCTGAGGAACTCGAAACCTGCCCTGAGGACATTGATGCTGCCCTGTGATCCTGCCCTGGGGTCTCTGGGATCATGCCTGGAGGCACTGGCACCCTGTGAGGCACTGGGACACTGCCCTGGAGACACTGAGATCCTGTGGAACACTAATGCCCTGCCCAGGGTCCTGCGGGGTACTGGGATACTGCCCTGGGATTCTTGCCACCTGTGGGGCTCTGGGAACCTGGCACTGGGATCCCACTCTGAAAACACTGATCCTGTCCTGGGCACTGTCAGGCACTGGAATTTTACCCTGAGTGCACTGTGACCCCGCCATGGATCCAGGAATTCTGTACCTGACTCCTCCAGCATCTTGACAGCCTTGGCCTTGGCGAGCTCGAGGGCGGTGACCCAGCGCTGCCGCTCCACCTCGGAGCTGGCCTTGAGGTGGTAGGTCTGGGCTCCACCGTTGGAGA